TATTTAAGACACATCTGGTTCAAACAAAAGAAATAAAAAGAAAACTTGAAGATCATCTGAACTCAGTTATTTTAAGTTTCTTTTTAGATTTATATTCAAATTTAGAACCTTTATTGCTATTTTACTAAATTTATATTCATTATTATTCTCTCTCTTCCTGCTGTTGTAATGTAAATTTCAACAATCAGATAAATGAAATGCTGAGAGGGTTAATAAAAAAAGAAATAAAAAAGAAAGGTGAACCCGTTTGGTTCTGGGTTCAGAAATAAATGCGTCAGTGGCTGAACAGGTGCAGCTGGACACAACAACAACAGGCATGCTCTGTGGGTCCCAGGAGAACCTCCCCCACCACTACCACCCCCCCGTGGTACCTTCTGCCTCCTCTGTGTCACTGCTCAAATGTGTGTGCATGTGTTTGCTGGGTGGGTGCAAAGAGGAGCTAATATCTCCTCCGTGGAGGAGTCAGGCTCCTACAGCCTGCATGGGTCTGTTTCCACAATGCAAGGCCTCCCATCCTCAGGAGAAAAAGAGCTGCTGAGATACATGCATGCAGCTAAACACACACACACACTCCTCTGGGACGTGATGTGCTCTGGGAGGTTTAGCACCCAACACCAATGTCTGGAAAAAGGATGATGAAAGAGCCAATAACGTCATGGAAGGAAGTGGATGCGACACACAAACATACGAATTGAACACTATATATAGAAAAGCAGGTTTAAATAAATGCAGATGTAAGGCGAACTCCTAAAGATCAGCAAAAAAAAAAAACCTGAAAAATCTGACAGCTGCCCAACTTTCGTATTTTTGATTGCAATAAACTCCTGAAAATTCAGATGAAGAATGTATTTAAATGGTATAAAGTGGACAAAAAAAAATACACAAAAGCACAGACACCAGCAGACAATAGGAGCTCAGTCACACACACACACACAGAGACACAGGAACTGTTTTCCTGTGGCAGCCTTGGGGAAATTAAAACTACATTATGGAGCTCCAGAGGGGAGCAGTGAGAGAGCGATGGAGGAAGAGGACGATGGGGAGAGGAAGCAGCAGAAGGAAGGAGGGAAAGAGGACAGAGTCCAGTTTTTCTCAGAATCGGCCATCATAGGGACGTCGCAATTAAGCAGAGGCTTGACCTGCAAACCCTGTTTTCTTACTTATAAATCAAATTATCCATCATTTTTCTACACATCTAATCTTATACATGGTCCTAGGTGGGGTATCTCCAGCAGACGGTGGACTAGAAGGTTGATACAAAGGGTAAGGAAGGTTATAAGGTCTTTCAACAGGACAGGACAAAGTTTTAAGTTGTAAATTGTGAATAGTCATTCAGGACAGCTGGCCTCTGTGACAAAGTTTTACCCTACAATTATATAAAGATTGAGCTTTTGGGCCAAAGTGACAGAAGCTTTGCTCATAGGTGCCTAAACATAACAGGTTACAGGCGGTGGCAGTATAATACTGTGGTGACTGTGCGTTGAACAAAGAAGTAGGCCGTAATAAAGGAGCAATACCTCCAAATTCTTTAATTTCACCCTAAATCCACAGGTATAAGGAATCAAAGACTAAGCTTTGGAATTACCTTAGCAAAGATCAAACCACATGTGTTGGAAAAAATGAATCTGACTCAAGGCTTCAACCATTTTGAATCAATGCGACAATTTTTCCAAAGCAGTCGTCAAATATTCTAGAAGGAAGCAAAAAAGCAAAGTTTTTAGATAAATACTTGACAGAGAAAGTAAATTCTTTTTTTGGTTGAGTAGTTTTTGTAACAATAATATGATCAAAAACAAATCCACAGGAAAATCAAAATGGGATTATGCAACCAGTTGCATTTTCGCTACAAATGGTCAATATAAAGAGAAGTTACCAGACTTTCCAACAACAAAAAGAAGCGCTATGATGAAGAAATCCTCACTCAAAAAGAGACAAACATCATCTGTCAGTGTGTTGAAAATAATCAATGGTGTGTTGGATTACTAGACTATTGGATAGCTGCAGCTCTAAAATAGCCAGAGATCTGTCATACGATAGGTGCGGGAGGCTGATTCTCGGTACTCCACTGGAGTGTGTGACACCACACGGCGAATAACAATAATCTGGTTGGTCTCGGCTTCTCGCTTTCAGCCTGGGGACTCGACAAACCTTTTCCACGATGACTCACAGACTGTTTAAGTGTCAGCATGAGCACACAGAACGGGTAAGTGAGTATAGTCTGCAGCAGATGGAGAGAGGCGCTGTTCAAATGAGAGGAGGGATGATGTTGTCTGGTGTGCCTTTCTTCTTCTCTTCTCACTTTTTTTGCTCAGGCAGAAAGATGTGAGATGAGAAGGAAAAACAAGGAAATAAGATGTTTTCTGTACATTTGATGGTCTGACAGGGCAGAGGGAGATAAGGGAGGAGGATGTTACTGTACTTTTAGTTTTAGGGAAGTTATGTGGGACAGAAAGGCCAAGGAAAAAAAGGAGAAGAGAGGAGAATAAGTTGGCTTGTAGCAGTTCCCTCCAGGCTTTCCTCCCACCTCCCCTCGGCATCTCTCCTGTGGGCCTTTCCAAACCCAACACACATTTTCCAGAGAAAGAAAAACGGTAAGGCAGAAAAAAAGTGTAGCAAAAAAGAAAAAGGATGGGTGGAAGTTTCTGAAACTGGTAGTATAATGAGAAGGAGTTTTTGATAGGTTACATCCTCATTCCTGAATCCCTGAGAGCAAAGGAGTCGTCGTTTTGAATCTGGGGAATAAGACGTAATTTGCACTCTTACTATGTGTGCAGAAGTAGGAGTTAACAAGCAAATGAAGGAAAGTAAAAAGTTAGGCCTGCGGAGGAGCGACAGCAGCGAGTATGGAGAAATGTAGAGAGAAGTGGTGAAAATCTGATGCAGAAAGCTGCTGGGATCCAAAACAGGCGGTAAAACTGAAAGTGTGGCTGAGTAAGGGAATATGGGACAGAATGTTTTCACTGGAGGAACACTCAGTTAGGTGTCTGTCTGTTTGTGTGCAAGCGTGTGTGTGTCATGGGACCCCAGCTTCCTGCAGGAACTGACACACACAGCATTTCTACTGAACCACTCAGGACCAAAGTCAGCACCCTGCTGAAAACACACACACTGCAGCAGACTTCAGGCAGCACGGTGGGCCCGGGAGGAGCCTGAGCACAGGTTCAGAGGAGGCTGGGAAAGGGAGGGTTTGGCACGTCATGGACACCCCAGCAGTGATTCCTTTCGTTTCCTTTCAACCCCTGTAGAGCTGAACGAAAGACAGGGCCAGGAGAGACTGAGAGGGAGCTAACTGGATATTTACCACATTCAGCACTATCTCCTCTCCCTGCAGGGATCCAGTCAGAGGAAGTGCTTCGCCGCTCCCTAATAGGTTGAAAACCAGAGCAGGAGAAACTCACTAGAGCAGAAAAAACACCTTACTGTTCTTTTTCTGCCAAGTTTAGGAAAACGTGTGTTGAAACCACTTAAAAAAATAAAATAAAAACGAGCATACATTCACCTAACATTGGGGTGATTGTGCCAACAGCCATTGAGAACACCCTGTTTGTAAGCCGGACATCTAAACTCAGACCTCTGAAAGCCTTCACTGTAGGACTGAGGACAAATAAAACACCTGTAGAAGCTGCTCTGCATTGTTAACAATACAGTTCAAGACAGTTTGAAGTTCCAGGGTGTGTATAGCATCGTCCTCTTCAGTAGGAGTCTATCAGCGTCCTGCATCTGAACTTAGCGACATTTAGTCCCTCTACTTTTTAAAGTTCTCAGATAGTCAGACAGCTCTGCTCCACAAACATCTTCAGAGGAGCCCAGAGATCCTCCATCAGACTCACCTTTAGCTTTCTAACAGAAACCTGAAGGTTTGGGGCCAAAACGAAGAGAGATATATATGAATGTATTTAACCCTTTATTCATTGTGACAGAAAAAAAACACCCATAACATGATTCTGCCACCACTGTGTTTCACTATAGTGATATAATTATTTTACACTAGAAAAAAAACGTAATCTAGATAAGTCCTTTTTTCTTAAAATAAGTGCATTTGTTCTTGGATTCAGGAGGTAAAAGAGACATTTTGCCAATGGAACACTTAAAATAAGGAAACACAATCGCATTGTCTTATTTCAAGTGCATATCATCTAATTATCTTATTTTAAGGATAAAAATACTAATTCCATTGGCAAATTATGTCATTTACCTACTCAAATTAAGGGTAAATACGAATAATTTAAGAAATTTTTACTTATTTCTAAATCATTTTACCAGTGTAGTGTTTAATTTGTTTCTAGTTTGGTTTCATCAGAACAGAACCCTTTCTTTGTCCAGCTTAACGTAGGTTTTAGTCACTCCTGTATAAAAATATTCTTGTCCTTTACTCATTTAAAATGGTGATTAACATAATTATTACCGTACCAACTGAGACTTTACCCGCCAGATAGGAAAATGAAATAAAATAAATCAGTAAAAGCTCCATAACAGGAGTTCCAATTTGCACTTTTTTGATGTAATTGAAGATATTATTTAAGGAAGCAGATGTGTAGAAAATGTCCAAATTTCTTTGCAATTTTAAATTTTAATGCAGGGGAAAACAGGGGGAAAAGATCAGGGACTGAGAGGAAAACAGAAACAAACAAGTAGAAAACAAATCTAAAAAACAGGAAAAGGCAAAGCTCATCCATCTCTCCCTTTTCATCCCAAGATATTCAGACCACAGAGGAGACAGATCCCTCCTTCACCCTCCCTCCATCATCTCCTTCCATTCAGTCCAAATCCAGAAAACATTTTATCTTCATCATCTCTGTTCTTTTCTCCTCTACATCCTTTCCCTTTACCGTAAACTTCAACCAATCCCTTTATCCCTCATGGTTTGTCTACTGAATCTTAGCCAGAAAACCATTATAAATCACAAGGACTGTCGGATCTTCAGCGCTCATCTCCTGGTGTAGATCAGAAATGGTTCTCGGTAAGTTCAGTCAAATGTTTCCATGTGATGAAGGACTAACCTGTCTGGACGGCGGATTCATCCCAAGTCCCTCCTCCCTCTGAGGGTTCTCCTTCTTCCACTGCTAAGAAGAAAACAGAAGGGACACAGAGAAGAAATTAACTTTATGAATTGCATGGATCAAACAGTATCACCATAATTTGTGTTATTAAAAACAACCAGATGAACAAAATGCGCTTTCAACTGCATTTAAAGGATAATTAAAAAACAACAACACAGAAAACCATTTTACTAGATCTGTGCATTTTTGCAAGTTGTAAGTCCGATTTTCTTGATTTTCATATTTTGATTCAAACTTTAAGCAGACTGACTCAGCTATGGTGGCTTTATGCAGTAACCAAAACCCTCATGAACAGCGGTTGGTATTTCTGAAGAACTTTAAGCTGCTTTTATTCCAGTACATATTCATATTCAGCATGTCCGTCAAAACAGGGACCATATAAACAAGTGATGCATTATAGGGCTTTAAATATACTAAAGAAATATTTTCAATTACATCAAGTAAGACCACTAAATCTGAGCGGTTGGCTTCCTGGTTTCACCTTGAGAAAAAGATGGCAGCTTCAACGCTCTCAAAGAAAATGTTAGCAAAGTTTGGAAAAATAGTTATGAGCCAAAATGATTTGGTACATGTGATCTTTAAGTGTTTATTAATGAAATTTGGATAAGTTGCATTTAAAGGTACTGAAATCTGTCCCATTAGTAGTGAGTAAAGAGACCAGCGGGATAACAACAAACTATGTCAGGTTATATCAAACAGACAGACACCTCTGATGACCTGGCATCTCTTCGACACATTCACACGCTGAACCGATCGCAGCAGGAATGTGACACCAACTTCCTGGGTACAGCAGGAAGGAGGAAAGCACAGCTGGCACACAAACAGGAAACGGCCGGAGTCAGCACACAATGGGATTTCCTCCTCTCCCCTTCCCCGGCACGCAACGCTGCACCTCTCCCTTACGCACGGTCGCTCCTGATCCCTGCAAATCCCTTTGCTCTCATCCAACTCCCACCACTGACCTCCACCCTCCATCTCCTCAGCACCTCCCTCCTCACCGCCGCCACCCTCTCGTTAGACTTGAGCCAAGAACTCAGATCAAAACAAGAAGTTATAAATCAGCAGAGTGTTCCTTTGTAAAGATAAACACAAGAGCAGGAGTTACACTCATTTGCTCACCAACTTTATTTATATAAAGTACAGTATATATACTATTAATATATGAATTTATTAAATCAGTACCTGTAGTTTCCTGAATAAATAAATTAACTTCAGGATCTGTTGCAGGTTTTAACAATAGAGCGATTTTTGAATGGTATTCAGGGTAACAATGTCTTACTGGTTGCTGCTGTCAGTACAGATCCACCCTTCAAGCCTTTCATTGTGACTGATGAGGATCGCTGCAGTCTGATATCCATTTCAGTCAATCCTGTCCAATATTTACTCCACATTCAAACAGATGATGGTTTTAATTCAACAGCTTAATGTAACAAACATTAATCAGACTGTTGCTTAGAACAGAAAACAAAGAAAAAAAAAAGAAAACTTTTAACTTCACCTGAGTTCACAAATCTCCATAATGTCCAATTTATTTACAGCCATAATTGTAGGCCTTAATGCATTGTCTTATAAGAAGCTGTTGCTGTGCACTTATCAGTGACCTGATCAAATGTAAACCTGATGAATAATGTATAACAGTGTCTATACTGTTTCTGAGACATTACTGTGATTTTTCTATTTGTGTGCAACTTTTTTTTTTTTTTTGGCAGTAGGCCTAAACCTAACAGTAAAAATCTATTTAAATGCAATTTGGGGTAACATGGCATCATGCTATCTAGATTGGGGGCTTTTTTTTAAATAAAAATAACTTAAATATCAGGCTCATTGCAGAACCTGCACTAGGAGGTCCAACTGCTAATTGCTCTAACATGAGGACTTGTCTTAATCGGTCTGAGCAGGTTGAAGCTTTGCAAAGACCAGAGCAAAAAAAAAAAAAAGCCACAAACCTCTGACATGAGGATTAAAAAGAAACTTAGGAAGGTATAAGAGTAAGTTTAGATCTGATAAAATCCATTTTCCTGATGAGGCTGTAGGGAATACCGTGTGTTTCATTAGCTGAGCACACACACAGCTTTATTTAGACTATCTGCGTCCTCCCTAAAGACTCGCACACGGCGTTACTGTGAACCGTGAGAGTTTATGCAGCACATGTGCAACTATGGGAAGGAGTAAAAATAAGCAGAAATCTGCATTTGATCATTAACATATAAGAGGAAGGATGAGTTTAGGAGGTAAAAAAAAAAGGGGAATCACAGCATCCAATTAATTCCTTTACACTTAGACACAGAAATCCACCTTCCTTTATTAGACTGTTTGGAATTTTTCAAACCGACACAAAACAACAATTAACAGCAAAACAACACCTCAGTAACTCTGAACTGCACCAAAAGTAACACATTAATACTTTTTTTTTCTCTTTTCATTTCCTATTGAACACCTGGAAAAACAGGTCTATTAATGCCTTTCCTGGAAACCTGTCAGTTGAAAGCGGAAGCAGCTACTCAGGAGGAATGTGAAGCAAAATAAAAATTCAGGGAATCTTTGGTGTTTTGGGAAAAGATTTCCAGCAGAAAATATACCATCACTCAATTAAAGAGCTACTCAGGATATTGATTTACACAGAAGGCAGAAAATGGACCTTGTTTCATTAAATCAGTGAAATACGTTGGAAGAGGCTCCCTGCCTGATGTGCATATCATTACATCGTTGTTTAGATGCAACATCGCAGTTAAAGAGCAAATCAGGACCAACAAACAGGTGAGCAGATAGACCTGCTGATGGATCACTGGATGCATAAATCTTCCTGAAGGTTTGCTGCTGCAACTATGCAGTTATTTGAGAAAAATGGCACAATTTCACCTATTAAATAGGCACTTATTTCCCAATTAATATTCATATAAACCATATCTGATCTTATTGTTTATCTCTGGGAAGTGGGGTGCTTTAATTTTACTAAATCAAAAGAAATGGCCCAGTTTCACTCATGAAAAGATTTTAAAAAAAGTTTTTGTAGTCATAATAATACACTATCCACACATCCTAAGTATGCTGTAGGTTAAACATGGCTACTTTCTACTGGAGTAAACCCTAATCAGAAACATGCAACACACAAGCAAGGGAATACGCTCCAGCAGTAACCTCTGCAGTACAGCAGCTGAAATACTAAACAACAGAACACTCCCGTCTTTGTTGTAATGAGATGCTATGATTCATTAAGCACACAATTACACCAGGTTGTCCACAGCGACAAAACCCACATTTACATGCAAATCGAACATGGGATGCAAATGAGAATTTACCAAACCAAGGGTCTGCTGGTCAGAAGCAGACGGGAGTCTCCATTTAAATCCGAGCGGCCTCAGCAAAACTCTGAAGCCAGAGGATTCAAAACCCAACAAAAACACGACTTCCAGCTGTTTTGGTTTTAGATATGACTCAGTCTCTGAATTTCAGGTGACCACAACAGTTCTGAAGCCTCTTGGCCAAAAAAAAACAAAGCAGGTGGGTCTTGTGTGAAACCAACCATCAGGTTCAGATGAGGATCTGGGATGCAAGGCTTCTATTTTAAGGATTACCGTACCAGGACATTTGAATCAAAAAATATGGTGGACCATTGTTTACAATATACAAAACAAACCTTCTTCTATGACCATCTCAGTACTCCTAACTAGATGCTATAGAAAAGCTCTGGAACTGAAGAGAAGAAGGAGTTGGAGAAGGTCTGAGACTCTGGATGACCTAGAGCAGGAGTGTCCAAATCAAGTTCTAGAGAATCATGCAGCTTCTAGACGAGCAGTTTACAGTGCTTTCTTCAGTTGTGAGATAGAAGCGCTTGTAGAATGAACTTGGGTGCTCCTGCTCTAGAGAGGTTGTTCAAGGATCCCCCATCCCTGTATGCTCCATGTGATAGGTTATAAGAGAGCGAATAGTGGGATGTATAAAGGGTCAAAAGCAGGATTTCCGGTAATTTGTGGCACCTTCCTTTTTCACCTCAACCATAAAATGCAGTCAAATACAAGGTTTAATATCTTAAACCTTTTAGTGTGAGAATATGCTGCATTTCAAACATCTGAACCAATAAATGAGGTTAACGTAGCCCATTAAACAGAAACCTGTTTTCACTCATTCAACCTTAGTCCTGAACCAACTTAAGACATTTGAAATATCCAGTCTGCACATTCTGGTCACTCTATTAGGTAAAATTTGCTAGTTCTGGTTTGAATCGTCTTTCTCCCCAATAAGTAAACCAATAAGAACCATGCCTTGTTCAGTCACTTAAATCCTCCTTCTGCCGCTACATTCATCGTATTTCAGCAATATGATTGGATGACTGGCTATTTATGTTAACACCTGAACAGGTGAGCTTAATGGGAATCTAAAATAACAGGGCTTGTTGTTTGCCATAAACTCTGGTTCATGATGGCTGTTTTTTCCTTTCCTCGTTCATCACAGGCGATCTGATGGCAGCGAACCGCTACAGCGTGCCTCTGTATCATCATCACCATGTTCCCATGTACAAATATTTACACAGTTGTTGTCATTAATTATCTGCTCACGCTCCAGCAAAGCAAAGCAGCCCTCTCTCTATTCTCCTTCAGTGTTTTTAACCCATTTTTGCTCTTTACTCTGCCATGCACTTCCCTTTTTTTTTTTGTCTTTCTGCCTCCATCTTTTGACTGCTCCGACTTTTATTCCCCCCTCAGCCTCAGAGATTCAGTGATTATTTCCTACTTTTCTTTTATCTACCATAAAACAGCTTGTACCAATCTTTGTTTCACCTTTAAGAGTCCAGTGAAAGGAAAGCGTGGCTAAAATAAATCCTTTGTCTTTTTTCCGTCTAAACAGCCTCCACGCACAGTATCAGGGCCATATATTCCCAAAGCAACCCAAGGTTCCAGTTATTCCCAGATCTATTTGACGAGCGGGTCACCGTGGCCAATCTTACAACGGCCATGCAGCCCAAAGAGGCGGGATGTGGGTCGGAGTAGCCAATGATAGACGGC